GTCTATTTCAGAAAGTGGACGATGGTTGGTGGTCACCAAATCGAGGAAGGGCCGATGATAAAAGTTAGCTTCTCTTTTACATATGATTACACATGAGTTCCTATTTATTGCATTTTGTCTACTTCTGAAGATTTTTTTAATTCACTTAAACTTTTACCTTTTCCTCTGAGTACCGAAAGATTAAATATATGCGCCACGTGTTCGGCTTTCGCTTTCCATTAAGCGTACGAGCTTAGTAGCTAGCATGAGGATTGTTTTTATGTTAAGGTACGAGTCTCATAACGCTGAACCGCTTCTGAAAGGGTGACAGACAGTTACGGACCACATTTGATTTCAAAGTAGTCGCTAAATAAACGGTGCTGTCACTACACCACTTATAGTCCGCACCTTCAATGATTTTCGATTAGTCTGATTCCTTCTGCTAGTTTGCTATTATTGGCTGAATTCTCCGATTATGCCTTGGGCATCGTTCAATACCACGTCAACGAGGAAAATGTGGCGTGGGTGTTTCACGACCAGGGCACATTGTACGTTGGGACCCGCACCAGGGGAGTCACATTTGCTTCTAAGAAAACTGGTTTCAGCAATCAAGCGGGTTTTTCCCGTCACTGATGCTACATATCCCCACTCTCCCCACCTACTCAACGGCAGTTTTTGGAGTCATCCAGGATTTCTACGGGAAAGTGGTAGGTAGGGTTGCTGATGGGAAGGGAGGGTCAGATGTCAGAGCACGAAATTTTGAAGGGGATGTTTTGCAAAACTTCTCCCTAACGGAAGGACGTGTTTTGATCAGCTGCACACTTGCCGATTGCTAAGGAGTCTGTCTTCTGAAGCTCTAATGTGGTTGGTGGTTGTGTCTAATCCATGGCTTATCCAGAAACATGCAATAGCTATAATTTTGCGCCCATACAGATAGACAATCTTTTAGCGAAATAATAAGTTCAGGTACGTGACAACTACCTGTCGGACGCAGCACGTGAGAGGCTTGGAGACGCGTTGTCCGATTCACTTCTTAACCTTACCACCGATCTACGCTCCCCATTTGCTGCTTTCCTATTATCTTTACAACTCGTATGCAATATAGCCAGGATTTTTGACTTCCGACTGCCTTATCTGGTACGTGGAAATGTTCGACTTTATGTTCATTGTGTACTTGAGCGCTCCTTAATGAAATTTTGTTTCACGTTGACGCTATCGCTGATGTGCTTTGAGAGGAGCGTGAGTCGTGAACTCCTTCGTAATGCCTGGTGAGCCATGAACATTTTGCCAATATTTTCAGAATCACACTGCACAAGAGTACTGCTCTCTTTCAATCATTTTCGCAACGTTTCAGTATTCCGTGAGATATTTGCCGACCTGTCATGGTTACAGGTTCAAATTCTGTCAGTCAGTGCTGTCACTAGGTCTTCATTTGGGAATGCCACCGGAAAATCTTCACTTCAACTATCCTCATTCGAATATCATTGAACAAGCACGATTCGTTCTTGAAGGAGTTGTTGCTCCTAAGGTGAGAGTTTCAGTGTTCTCGTAAGGAGATACCTCCATTATCTTGTTTTGTATGAGTCGCTGAGGCTGCAGTTATACTTTGCGTCAGCTTACGCCAGTATTTTCGCGAGCAATTTAAGGTTGAGCCAAACTGCTCGCGAGGACGCTGCTGTAAATGGCATATGCTGGCTTTTGCTTGATCGATATCTATATCTTCTTAGTCCCTCGAAACGGTGATGTACGTTAACGTACCCTGGCGAACACTGACGTTCATACTTCCCCGGTCGCAGGCGCTGGTGTACTATCGTAACATTGCCTTACGCTGATGCAAAGCATAAATGCAGCCTAATATATTTCTTGGATTTTCTCCACGATTTGAGCTAGATATAAGGAAAAGGGATTTTGACTTTCTATATACTGCCATGTTCCTGACCGTGGTCGATGGTGAACTTCTTATTTTTCTGACGTTTTGGACCAGAACCAAAATCTTAATATCTCATTTTTTTTTTTTTTTTTTTTTTTTTTTTTTTTTTTTTTTTTTTTTTTTTTTTTTTTTTTTTTTTTTTTTTTTTTTTTTTTTTTTTTTTTTTTTTTAGCCCCATCCAGTCATATTAGCTAGCAGTCATCGTTTTGAGATTAACGAAAACTTGGCTCGAGTAAATGTCCACGATAGAGAATTGGTCAGTTTTGCATCTTTTTTTAATCTGTCAACAAATTTATAGGCCTTTTCCATCTTTTTCTGTTAGCAGTGCCACTACTTCTTACTTTTAGATTTCTGAATGGGATATTTGCGAAGATCTCGACATGTGACAGTTTTGTATCTAGTTGTACATATATGAGAAGAACTGTTTATAGTACTCTAGGGTATGGTTATTGAATTGAAATGTTGTGAAAATCGTTACAAAATGAAAAGTATCCAAAGAATGATTTTGGTCATCTAAACGATACACAGAACTGCTGCTAATCGATCAAGTGATCAGGTTCCTCATTAATTCAGTCTCTCATATATCGTTCAGGAGATCCGCGTCGTGGTATCGCGCGTCAACCAGCAAATGGTTCTAGCTAGCTGGCATAACCTTGTGTCGTCAAATTACCTTGGTTTTGGTGGTCGTTGATATGCCTTTAATTTCACGGCCTTGTATCAATGAGACGACAGTCGACGATGGTTTCTTCTATGAGGATCAATGAATGAATCCACTCTCCTTCTACCTCAGACGGAGTAGGCGTGGCATTCGAACATGGATTACGGTGTGTTACTCGTGGGATTTCCAATTTGAGACAAAAGTCATCTAGTTTTGTGTTACCAAAGACATTGATTACGACTGCCCCAAAATCAATTTCACGAAAAGCTCAGCCTACGCCACGTTCAGTTCAGGTACGCAGCCACGCCTGCTGCTTCTCAGAGATTTCGAGAGTAATTACAAACGAACGTTAGTTATGGTTATCCGACATCATCAAAAATGAAACGAAAAAAACTGAGCTGGCTGACGAAGTTATCAGAAATAGAACCGCGAAATAAACGGTACAGGGCCATAACTTCAACTCATCTGTCAAAGCTGCGAGTCAACTAGAAAAAGGGCATAATATTGATAATGGGGTATGCACACGATGCCGCGACTTAATCTCGTGAACTACACTCCCACAAAACACTGTCGTACAGAAGTCACACAGACTAACGTAAGGCAGCGTTCAGACTTCGCGACGGCAGCGCTTCGGTCGCGCGCGATCGATGCAGTCGAAAGCATGCGCATCGATCGCGCCGAACGCGCGACCGAGGCGCTGCCGTCGCGAAGTCTGAACGCTGCCTAATCGTCGTTCATATTCACTCAAGGCAACAACCTAAGGTCTCGGTTGGAACCCTAGACCAGGAATTCGCCCTGCTTCTGCTTTACCATTTCTATTTT